CGTACAGGAACAAAAAAAGTTCAAAAAATACCCCAAGGGAAAAACTGGGGCAGGGTAAAGTCAGGACTGTAGACTGAAGCAACCGGAGGCTCGGGTCCTCCACAGAGATGCTCTGGTAGCCAGCCAGAGCATCTTTATGGTTGACCCTCACCCTGGTGCTGAAGCACGCTGCCTACCTGTGTGCACCAGGGTCTCCTTCTGCCCGCAGAAGGGGCAGGAGACCGGGGTGTCTGTGAAGCTTCCCACCTATATGCCCATGGTGATGGCTCTATGGAGGAGCCGCCAGCTGAGGTCCCCAGTAGCTCATGGGATGAGGGTGGAGTACAGACTCAGCCACTGGGGTGCCCCAGCCATGCCCTCACCAAGCAGGTCCTGCCACTTGGTGTCTGGGTGGGACGCGAGGGCGGCATGATGGATCATGCAGCACACAAGCATGTAGTGGCGATGGACCGGTTTGGTGTCCGGTCTGGTGTCTTCCAGCCAGCTCAGGTGGTGAAGTGGGGAGCACTGCAAGGCCAGGCAAGACACCAGCCCCAAGACATACTCTGGTGGGCTGGAGGACATGGGGGGGAGGGGGGCAGAGACCACCACTGAGCAGGACCTGGTCAACAAATGCAAGGGTTTCAAAAGGTAGGGCGGATTTCACCTCCTGGACCAGACAGCATGTTGCTCGTGTCATGATTAGACCCATGCACCAGGCCAACTCAGATGGGTCCACCCACTCCTGCCTATCATCATTCAGGAGGTCTCCGATATAAGTGACACCAGCCAGGATCAACCTCTGTTGCAACTGAGGCATCTCTTCTGTTGGCACTTCCAGCTGCGGGTTCCAGAGGAGGGGCTTGACGAGCAGGTCGGTGCCCTGGGTGAGTGTTGCAGGGGACCTGGAGGTGGAGACCAGCCTCCAGGCCCAGAGGAGATTGTGGTTGAACTCTGGCAGCCCTTGCAGGTCCTGCAGGGAGAAGTCCCGCAGGCCAAGGAGCTGCCAGTCATATCGGAGTCCCTGGAAGTGGCGGAGGAAGGTACGCTCCAGATGGCCTCATGCTGCATGGCTACCGACACAGTATAGCAGTCACTGCAGGGCCTGAAAGTGGAACATCAGGACCAGGCTGTGTAGGCAAACCAGGCCCTGGCCACCCTTCCACAAGGGGAGGCTCAGGACCTCCACAGCAACCCA